TCGCTGGTGCCGTCGCCGACACCGGCGGCCGAGTTGTGTCGGACGGCTAGCCATCGAAAGCCATTGAGTTTCACTTTAGACCAATTGATGTCCGTCTCATTGATGTCCAAATGTGTCAACTATTCATATGATAAGTGGTTTAAAACATCATTCAATATCTAATATCACCGCTAATGACATAAGTAGTCACCCGATTGTGTCCGTACACCCAAACCTCTTAAGCACATGACATACCTGTAAAACTTGGTTCACATTAACCATTGACTCTTCGCTCGTCATTATTATAACTTTAAAATAGATTTCAAAACATATTTCTATCACAATTAATACCACATTTGAATTGAAGTGTAAATTAAATGCACAAAACAGTGAAACAGTGGCAGTGATTACACACTCTATGCAAACAAATGGGCGTTCAGTTAATGGCAATCAATGCAATCATTGCTAACATTAATCGTGTATTTGTTTAGTGAATAGTTTCCTAAAATTGTTCATTAAATGCATAATTAAAGCCAAAACACAATCATTTGTTTGAATAATAAAATATGAAATGATTTCTAAATATTTGTTATGAGTTGTGATAAACGAGTGGCAAATGTATTGCGAAAGTGAGTCTCTCTCTCATTGGCTTTACGTCTAACCAAAACATATGATTTCATTCAACATTGCATTCAATGTGTGAATAAAACTTTGGCTTTGCGACCAATATTTACCATCATTTTTATGCTTTTTAACTTAATTGTTGTTTTAATTGATTTTTTAAAATTTTATTTTAAATATAATACAATATATATTTAATTTTCATTTATTTAATCACTGGCAGTGAGTTTATACCATGTGTTTGGGTTTAGGATTAGCTCTGATTGTATGCAAATGAAATTTTATATGCTTTTTAATCTCATTATAATTCATAAGAAAAAACTTTTAATTTCAATATTCAATCAAATAAAACATGAAAAATAAAAACTAATGGTGTCTTTGAAATGACTTTTAATATAACAGAGTTTATAATATTTAATAAATGATAGAAAGTGTACACAAATATACAGTAAATAACATGACATCCGGTTATCTGAGCACTCATTTCATGACTAAATCCCGACTAATCGGATGAGAGGGTCCGCTGTGTATAACAGTGTTGTGTGTATTGTGGAGCGCATGGGAACTGCCAGTGCAGTCGTACAGCACATACACACACATACCGGTGCCGCCCAGATATTCAGGTCGGGTGTGTTTCCCATTTCCCTTACAAACACCACAACCAATAACCGTATGGCAGACCGACGACTACAGTAGGAGTAAAGGCATTGCATTTTCGCATTACATTCAACGCTCTCTTCAATGCTTTTCGTTTGAACGGAAACTCGCCTTCATTTTCACCGATATATCCCTTATTATTATAATAAGCATTGAATACAACACTCAAAACAAATTCATTGTTTTTTGTGCTCATATTTTGGTGACACTCGTCGGACACACCGTTTTATATTCATTACATTTTTACTCAATTTAAGGTTTGTTTCGTTCAATAGATTTATTTTCCCGAAAATTGTATTATTTTTGTAAATAATGTGTTGAATATATGGGGGTCTGTGCGGCCCCTCCCGTCACTCCACAACCCATACACTATATACGGGCCGTAGTGTCCGCACGCCTGACATTAAGGTAAAAAAGTTTTAACAAACTTTGTGTCAATACAGTTATATCTGGGATGAAGTCAGACACACAGATGGAGGACACATCGGGTCCGTCGGCGATAGACGTGTCGGACGCTTACGCCAAACGCAAAGTCGGTCGACCCATCACTTCCGAGCGCACACTCGCACGGTATGCATCGCTGGACACAACTGTCCACAAGTTTTGTAATATTTTAATTTAAGAGTCGTTTCAAACCGTTTCTCATTTCCTTTAAAAAATGCCCACAAATTATGGGAATTTTATTTATTTCCGGAAACTATATTTTGGGGGAAAATTTTTAACTATGATTTTTGTTTGACTTTTTTTTCATTTAAATCACTTTTAATTGTTTTGAATTTTGCAATTAATTAATTAATGGACAAAATAGAAATTATTTTGTTACACTTTCGCGACACCAATTGCTATGAATACCAAAATGTTTGCACAGAAAAAAACAAATTGTTTAAAACATTTAGCGACAAAATTGAATGTCTCTTTTGATGGACAAAAATGCCATTTAACAGGAATTTCCCCGAAATCGATGAAATTCGCGGCAAACTGTTGACCGGCGAGTGTTTCGGGCGAATGCGGACGAGTGGCAACTCCTCGTCTGTTTGGCAACTCTTTGAAGAGATTGCTTACTCTGATTCACAACTCTTTACGGGTATTGTTCGGTGCAAAGCGTGTGCATTCATGACCAGATATCACGGACAGATCACCGGTACGTTTTGCCCAAACCAGCGATTGCTTTCATAATAAGTATATTATTTTAAAGGCACATCTCATATGCGAAGACATCACTGTTTTCGTGAAGCATTTCCCGAAGCGTTCACTAATTCACCCAAAATTACACCAAATGTGACGATAAATAAAATTAAAAAAGGTTTACCACTTATAGGCTATCAATGATTTTTATATTAAATAAATATGTTATCAATTAATCAGAACCAAAAGTATCGGTAAACCGGAGTCCATACGCCATTCATCCGGTCAGCAGTTCTCTGATTAAAGAGACAAACGGTGGTCAAACACCGACCGCCAAAGTCCAGCCAAACACTAACCGAATCGCGACCATTAAGTCGGAACTGAGGGAACGAATCCTACAGTTCTGTTACAACGAACTCATAACTGTTGAGAGTATGACATCCGATACATTCAAATCGCTCGTCCAATCTCTGGTCAAATTGTGCACAACTGTCGGCAAAGGGACAGTAGCTCTGCCCGACCGGAACCAACTGTACGCTCAGATGACGGGCCAACACAATCAATGCAAGAATCGGATCAAAGAGGAACTAAACAGTGCTCTCCAGAAGAATATCGGCGGTGCACTAGTCTGCGACTCTGAGGCCGATCTATGCGTTATCTCCACCTATTATATCAACTCTAACTGGCAATTAGTTGAGAGCATTCTGAGCGCTACGGCCGCCGGCAATGACATCAACGCATTCATTAGCCAAACGCTGGAAGATTTTGAACTGAGCGACGATCAAAAGTTATCCAAATTTACATTCATATCGAGAGGCGGTCTCTTCGACGGCGTGTCCATGTGTTTGACATCTATGGCACACGTGATCGACGGCGTGATTGAGAGCGCTGTCTTCGGCGACGACACTTATACAGAGATTGTCGAGAATTGTAAAGTGATTTGCGCTGAACTGCGGCTTAACGTCGAGGGCTTTACCACCGAATGGGTCGTCAAATTTGAAATCATGCGACAAGTGATTGAAAATCGCCACAAATTTGAACTGAAGAACTCGTCGCTGGACTTGGATTTAGTCAAGTTTTTGGTCGACTTTTTAGCGCCTTTTAAGGCGGCGTCGGTTGAGCTCCGACAGTGCAGTCGACACCCGACTCTCAATCACGTATTGCTTTGGTATTACAAACTATTGAAGCACTTGAACGCCACGGCAGACGACGACACACTGGCCTCAGGCCTCAAAACAGTGATCAAAGTAGGAATGGAGCAAAACTTTCAGCTCCAGTCCTTCCATAAGATCGCAGCCTTTTTGTGGCCAAACTTCCGATTCTTAAAGATGTTGTCCACCGAAGAGCGCGAAGAGGTTCACAACGAAGTGCGAGAACTGATTGATAGCCGTATTGTGGAAGAGGACGGCAGCGGCGGTGGTGTCGACAGTAATGGACTGAAAAAAGCGGCCAATTTTGACGAATGGGAGGAACAGGACTCAGAACAGGACGAACTCAATAAATATATATCCGTTCAGTTGACCACTTGTAATGAGCAGAATATCCTGATTTGGTGGCGCGAACACCAGCAAGACTTCCCCAAACTCTCACATTTAGCCAAATGGATACTATCCATACCCGCGTCGGTCACATCGTTAGAGCGTTTTAAACTCATCTCAAGCCAAGAAGTAACGCCTGAACTATTGTTTATGCACTGCAATGCGTAAGTGGCCGCCAATCGCACCACAAATCCAATGAACATATCTTGAGTTGTTTTTCAATCACACAATGGTTTAAATTGGTTTAATTTTACATATTTTTAGTGTTGTTTGGCTTTTAAGTATTGAATGTGTTTTGAATTTTGGGAAAGACTTGTAAGAAGTCATACGAGAAACGGTTGTCACGAACTCTTATAATTGAATTTATTTCACTCATAACTTAATTGATTAATAAATTTCTTCATTAATCCTTCGCTTATATTAACGATGGATTGACAGACCTTTTAAGCGAAGTCTAGTAATGGATAAGTCGGTAAAGACTTCGTGGCAAAAGAAAATGCAGATTAAAAATGACAAAAAGATTGTCAAACTCTATGAGCAGGAGATTAAAGACGCCAAACAACAAGAGATAGAGGTTTTTATGGACACAAACCCATTGATTGACAAACAACTCATTGATATTGTTTTTACATTAGATTTTATTTTCCATTTTTAAAACCTTTTTGTTGTAATTTTAGGCGAAAAGAGTGCGAAGAGAAGCGAATAAACAGCGGAAACAAGAAAACGCCCGCAAAGCAGAGATAACTGTTTCGGTAATGCATTGGAAGTAATAGTTTTGATTCAATTTATAATTGTTTTAAAATATGATTTAAGATTAAAAATCCCAAAAAATTGAAACGCATTGCAAAGAAACAGATGAAACAAATGAGAAAAGTCCGCAGGAATTGAGTGTCGATCACATCCGACGGATAGACACTCCCATTGAAAGACTATAATTCATACGATTATTGTTTAAAACAATTAAATATATATATTATTTAGACGAATAAATGAATACATATTTTGCATCTTTTATAATAAAATAATATGTTTAAAATACCAGAGAAATTGAAAAAAATTGTTTTACTCCCGAATAATCTCCGCTCTAATTATAACTGATGTCTCAATTCATGTCTGATTTGTAACTTCAATTCCCAAAGTTTTCATTCAAAACTGTTATCAAAATTAGTGCCAAATGTAATACATATGACGTCTGATAAGTGGCGCTAAAGTAGTGTTTGTAGTGTTTGTGCTTTGATTTGTGTTTTGAAACACATTTTCACAGCAAAACCATACGACTGTCCCTTTCATCGCACCATTCAATACATCCATATTATCCTCACCACCGATGACTCACCCGAACTACTGACCAGTCGAGAGTCCGTCATTGAGGTCAAACACCGGATCAGATATAGCGTGTGTTGTGTTGTCCGGCAATTGGCGAACACAACTGATCCCTGACTTCGGCCGCCGAAGACAATGGCCATTAATGCGGCGAAACAGCTGTTGGACGAACTCATGGGTCGGGAACGCGATTTGGCGCCCGAAGAGAAGAAGTCGTCGCTCGACTGGAATGATCCCGGGGTTTGTTGTCTCCACTTTATACACACTTAACTCAACACCGCTTAAGACCGCGACTAATGGCTTGCATTGCTTGTGTCCACGCATTTGTCCAATAGGTTTGCCGACACTTTTTGGTGCAGTTCTGTCCGAACTCGTTGTTCACGAACACGCGGGCAGACATCGGGCCGTGTAGTCTGGTTCACGACGACTTCCTGAAGAAGGAGTACCAGCAGAGGGCCCACAAGAAGGAGAAGATGGTCTTTGAGGACGAGTTCATCCGCTTCTGTCAGTCACAGCTCAACGAAGTCGAGCGTAAGATAAAGCGCGCGAAACAGAGGCTCGAAATGAGCCAATTGGAGAAGACTTCGGGCGCCAACGCCGGCAACGCTGTCCTCTCCGAAGAGTCTCAGGAGAAGATGCAAGTGTTGACCGATCGCATCGACTCAATGCTGGAACAGATCGAAGCGTTGGGCACCGAAGGGAAGGTAGAGGAGGCGCAGGGAGTGATGAAACTCGTAGACAAACTCAAGGAGGAGAAGTCGGCCATTAAACGGGACGCTATGCCTAACAACCATTGGATCCAACAAAAGGCAGAGATCGGCGCTCAACAGGAGAAGCAGATGGAGGTGTGCGACGTTTGCGGCGCCTTTCTTATCGTGAACGATGTCCAGCAACGGGTCGACGACCACCTGATGGGCAAACAGCACATGGGCTACGGCCGCCTCAAGACTGCTTTGGATGACATACTGGAGCGCCGGCGACAGGACAGGGATCGCGAGAAACTGGAATCGGAAGCGGCGGCTAAAGAGGCGGCCACTGTTCGCGATCGGGCGCGCGATGAGCGCCGACAGCAGAGGGACAGATCGCGAGAGAGATCATCGCGTGATGGAGACCGAGTGCTGAGCAGTGGTCGTCGCGACAGTGATGTAGTGCACGACAAACCGCGTGACAGAGACTCCCGACGCCATTCAGAGCGGTCCGAGCGGTCGGATAGAAGTGATAGGAATGAGAGAAATGATAGAAATAATGACAGGAATGATAGGAGCGATCGGTCGTCGCGTTCGGCGCACAAACACCGGTCGTCGAGCAGAAGGTCGCGCTCCAGAAGTGGCGATCGAGAGCACAGGTCGTCCCGAAAGCGGTCGAAGGGCTCGTCCGCCAGTCCTATAAGAAGCTAACTATATATTAAAACTAAAGTCATAGTAAGAGATGTTCAAAACCAGAGGTAAGTCCTAATGGATTGTTAGCCACTATTATATGACTTTTAGAAGTCTTTTATTTTAAACCCATTTTATTATAAATACTGTATTTATTCGACAAATAATATCGACGACCAAACCGTAAGCGGTGTTTGTCTGTTGTGATTGGCATTTGTCTGACCGAAACAGACAGTCAGACAGACAGTACTCGCAAAGTCTGAAGACAACAAGTAATCCATTGAATTAAAAGTACACTTTTATGACTATTTCATAGGTTTTTAATTTCATACGATTTAATAAAACGAAAAAATGGGCGCAATTTGTAGATTAGTTTTCAATTAAATTATTTATTAAATATTTTTTTTGTCGAAGAGATTTTCATTTCATTTTTAATCCCCTTATTATAGGTGTTGAATGGCTTCTGGAAATCCGTATAAACATTATAATTGGTTTTAATTTTTGTAATAATGATTGCAATCCATTGATTGTATTTCCCGTAAACAATGCCATAATATGATGGATGAGTCGCTACGAAGTGATACTGTATTTACAGGTTTACGTTTCGGACGACTATTTGCTTTTTGGGAAATAATAATCTCATTATTCTTATTATATAAGAAAATTGTTATTAAAACTCAACAAATCATTAGCTTTTCGTTTAGAAAAAGGTATTCTTTAAAAATTTAATTGTAATTTAGACTCAATTTCCAAATTCTTGTTTTATTTTTATTACTCTCTTTTGTGTTAAAAATATGTAATTTTATGTAATATTATTTAATGAGAGGCGAAAAAACCTATTTTTATTGTAATCTCTTATAAATGGAACTATTCTTTGATTATAACTTTTTTCTCAAATAGTAATACAAAACAATTATAATAATTAGATATAAAGTCACGAATCGGTCTTTAATTGTAGGGCTCCGACACATCCCCTTCTTGTCCGCCACACAGACACACATCCCATATGTGTTACACAAATGTGTGTTTTAATTGTTTGCAAAGGTATTCATATGAATCTTATTATTTATTAAAAAGTTATTTTTCATTCACTATTCAGTCTTTTTGGAGCAAATATTTGTATGTTTTCTCTCCAAATAAATTACAATAAAGAAAACAATTACTAAAAAACAAATGAGGGATAAGTTGACCATTTGGTCGCCAAAATCAAATCGTGTGCAACAGTCCTGAGACCACAGGCTTCGGCTCATCGGACTGTCCGTGTCGTCCATATCTGTGCCCATTAAACACACTGTAGTACACGTCGAGCCCTATCCACAGCTGTTTCGTTTGATTTCTGGGCACTACTGGTCGTCACCTCTTCAGTCGCCTCTTCAGACTCCTCTTCTGCCGGCGTATCGGCTTCTGTCGCCTCTGATTGTGAATCAATCAACTGTTTGGCCTCCGATTCCAGTCGTGTCTTCGCAAACGACTGACAAGTGGTGGCGAATATGTATTCAATAAAGAGATCAAAGTCTTGGTCACCGATTGTCTCTGAATTCTTCCAATTCCTGAGGAGCCACACCTGAAACTTCTTCTTGAACTTCCACTCTTGCGGTCTGTGTTTCCAATCACTCAAATACTTGAGCGCTTCCACGCATTTGTTGGACTTATTGGCCTCAACAACGATTTGGTGCACCTCTTGTCGCGCTTTCTGTTTCTCCAACTTTTTGGCCTTTTTTCGCAATTTGATCGCCTCTTTGGTCTTCTCGTCCTTCACTTTCTTCACGTCTTTAAGGATCTTATCGGCGGAAATGGTGTCACTTTCGGCGATACTCGGGTCGACCACACGGTCTCCGTCGTCGCGCTTCACCTCTTCGTGCTTCACGTCTTCGTCGGCCAACTCTTTGTGTCGCTTAGAGTTGTGATATTTATTGAGAACCTCTTCTTCGACAGACTCTTTATGGTGTGTCTCCGTCTCCGACCGATGCTTTCGTTTACCCATCGATTCAAAGCAACGGATCCGACGGTTTGTAGCTCTGGTTGTGCCGAAAGCACGTGTATTGCAGTCAACACTGGTTTACAAATGACATGTGTTTTCAATGTTTTTCAACACAACACTAAACGCCACACAATGTGTGACACAAACCCTACAAACCATAGAAATGAATGCATTTCTCCAATCATTGCATAATTTGTGTTCACTTTTGAGGCTCTTTTAGGGCGTGTTTTGACTCGTTTTGATGTTTTGATTAAATGTTTTGCATGTTTTGGGCGTTCATTGTATGCGGTGTTCACTAACAACAACACATCACTCATCTCTCTCTCCCACCAAAAACTATTGTCAACCGTATTGTCAACACTCTGTCCATCGATGGCCACGTGGAGAGCACTCGCATCGCAACAGCCATCCAATAACAGTCACTCCCGACAGACCAAAGACGATGACGACGACTGGGAAACCGATCCAGACTTTGTCGTAAGTGTTGTCACAGCCTTAGTGTCCAATTTGTCGATCACTCGATGATATCATTGTTTGCCATGTCTTAGAACGATGTGACAGAACAACAGCAACGGTGGGGCGGTTCCGGTCGCACAGCCGGCGCTATAGAGTTGAGTACAACAACCCGTTTCTCTAGTCATTAATAGTGTGATTAATGTCCGCTATTGTTGTCTCTAAAGTATCGCTCAATTGCGGGATAACGTGACCCATGAAGACATGGATAACCGACAGAAGACGGCGCACGAGTCGCAAACAGACGGCAATAAGGGGTTCGGCGGCGCGTTTGGCGTTCAGACCGATCGCGTGGACAAGAGTGCCGTCGGCTTTGAATATCACGAGAAACTGGCCGCACATGCATCGCAAAAAGGTCGCAAACATTTACACATGAATTGAATTTTGTTTTAACACAGAGTATGTCTTAATCTATATAAACAGATCATTCGTCCGGATTTGGGGGTAAATTTGGTGTCCAATCCGATAGAGTGGACAAATCAGCCGTCGGTTGGGATTATAAAGAGAAACTTAATCAACACGACTCACAAAAGGGTACAAATTCTAGACATTGTTTGTATATTTTAACACTAAAAATGATTTGAAATGATTTATAGATCATTCTGTGGGCTTCGGTGGTAAGTTTGGCGTTCAGAAGGATCGAGTGGACGCGTCTGCTGTTGGTTGGGAACATCACGAGAAAGTGGACAAACATGAGTCCCAATTAGGTGTGAATAGATTAATGGATTTGTAATTAGTTTGGAAAACAAGCAAAATGTTTTGACACTTATCTCACAGACCATTCGGTGGGCTTTGGGGGCAAATTTGGTGTACAGTCTGACAGAGTGGACAAGAGTGCCGTCGGCTGGGAATACCACGAAAAACTACAACAACATGAGTCACAAAAAGGTTTGTTAATTAACCGGTATTAATAGTTTTAAGATATATATAATTAACTCGTAAATATCCCATATTATAGATCACTCGAAAGGTTTTGGGGGTAAATTCGGTGTCCAATCGGATAGAGTGGACAAATCGGCCGTCGGCTGGGAATACCACGAAAAGCTTCAGCAACACGAGTCACAAATAGGTCTGTTATTTAAATGTCAATCAAATGTTTAACATTGTCAATATTTATTACTTTATTGAGTCAAAATATATGTTTAAAAAGTTACACACTTCTAATGCACACACTATAACCCGGTTATAAACAGATGATTGTCGTGATTACGACATACAGGACTACTTATGTAACCAAAATATTCTACTTTACAGACGGCACGAAGGGTTTTGGGGGTAAATTTGGTGTCCAATCGGATAGAGTGGACAAATCGGCGGTCGGTTGGGAACACCACGAAAAGACTGAGAAACACGAATCGCAAACCGATTACTCGAAAGGATTCGGCGGTAAATACGGCGTTCAAACGGATCGCAAGGATAAGGAGGCGCACGGATGGGACGAAGTGACCAAAACTGAGAAACACTAAGGCTCTTTTAGGGCGTGTTTTGACTCGTTTTGATGTTTTGATTAAATGTTTTGCATGTTTTGGGCGTTCATTGTATGCGGTGTTCACTAACAACAACACATCACTCATCTCTCTCTCCCACCAAAACTATTGTCAACCGTATTGTCAACACTCTGTCCATCGATGGCCACGTGGAGAGCACTGGCATCACAACAGCCATCCAATAACAGTCACTCCCGACAGACCAAAGACGATGACGACGACTGGGAAACCGATCCAGACTTTGTCGTAAGTGTTGTCATAGCCTTAGTGTCCAATCTGTGGATCAGCCGATGATATCATTGTTTGCCATGTCTTAGAACGATGTGACAGAACAGCAGCAACGGTGGGGCGGTTCCGGTCGCACAGCCGGCGCTATAGAGTTGAGTACAACAACCCGTTTCTCTAGTCATTAATAGTGTGATTAATGTCGGCTATTGTTGTCTTTAAAGTATCGCTCAATTGCGGGATAACGTGACCCATGAAGACATGGATAACCGACAGAAGACGGCTCACGAGTCGCAAACAGACGGCAATAAGGGGTTCGGCGGCGCGTTTGGCGTTCAGACCGATCGCGTGGACAAGAGTGCCGTCGGCTTTGAATATCACGAGAAATTGGCCGCACATGCATCGCAAAAAGGTCGCAAACATTTGCACGTGAATTGAATTTTGTTTTAACACAGAATATGTCTTAATCTATATAAACAGATCATTCGTCCGGATTTGGGGGTAAATTTGGTGTCCAATCCGATAGAGTGGACAAATCAGCCGTCGGTTGGGATTATAAAGAGAAACTTAATCAACACGACTCACAAAAGGGTACAAATTTTAGACATTGTTTGTATATTTTAAACATTAAAAATGATTTGAAATGATTTATAGATCATTCTGTGGGCTTCGGTGGTAAGTTTGGCGTTCAGAAGGATCGAGTGGACGCGTCTGCTGTCGGGTGGGAACATCACGAGAAAGTGGACAAACATGAGTCCCAATTAGGTGTGAATAGATTAATGGATTTGTAATTTGTTTGGAAAAGAGGCAAAATGTTTTGACACTCATTTCACAGACCATTCGGTGGGCTTTGGGGGCAAATTTGGTGTACAGTCTGACAGAGTGGACAAGAGTGCCGTCGGCTGGGAATACCACGAAAAACTGCAGCAACACGAGTCACAAAAAGGTTTGTTAATTAACGAGTTTTAATAGTTTTAAGATATATATGATTTACTCGTAAATATCCAATATTATAGATCACTCGAAAGGTTTTGGTGGTAAATTCGGTGTCCAATCGGATAGAGTGGATAAATCGGCCGTCGGCTGGGAATACCACGAAAAGCTTCAGCAACACGAGTCACAAATAGGTCTGTTATTCAAATGTCAATATTTATTACTTTGTTGAGTCAACATAAATGTTTAAAAAGTTACACATTTATAATGAACACAGTATAACAGATGATTGTCGTGATTATGACATCTTACAGGACTACTTATTTAACCATAATATTCTACTTTACAGACGGCACGAAGGGTTTTGGGGGTAAATTTGGTGTCCAATCGGATAGAGTGGACAAATCGGCGGTCGGTTGGGAACACCACGAGAAGACTGAGAAACACGAATCGCAAACCGATTACTCGAAAGGATTCGGCGGTAAATACGGCGTTCAAACGGATCGCAAGGATAAGGAGGCGCACGGATGGGACGAAGTGACCAAAACTGAGAAACACT